GTCCATTTTTAGTGCCTTATTGTTTCATTTGATTTATACCGGATTCATTTTTGTCTATGTGCAGATAAGTTGTCGGATCCCTTCCTAAATCAGATTTATAGCAGTCTTATACTCAAAGTGGTTAAAGCAGTTATATGAGTTTGGGTGAGTGTGTGGAATGGGATTCATCTGCTGGTATGACTGGTTTATTTGGGAGTTAATTGTTTAGGCCACTAAAAGCAACATTAAGACACTTCAAATACAGTAAGAGTTATTTGTTGTTTAATTTAATTTACCATTGGCCATTTCCACATACTCTGAGACTTTGAAATCTCTAGAGCGTGTAAAGCACTCAAGTAAAACTATGTCTAAAAAGAGTTGTATTGTAATTTCCTAATGCGAACAATTAGGTTGGGCCTTAGATTTGATTAAATTTAATCTTGACCTCCAAGCTTGTGCCAGCGTGACTCATTAAGTGTCTGGTTTAAAAGGCCAGGAGAGACCAATCTATTCTGAGGCTGAATTTAGCCAGTGACGAAGGTCTCTCACTTCTTTTTATCCAATTAATTTCTCCGCTGGCACAATCATCAAGCAATTCCAGTTTTCAAGGACGGAAAACCATCTGCAATAGGTTACAGATCAAAGTGAATCTTTCCTCTATCGATCCGAGAACCGTCAGTAGATTAACAGGGCTTGATTGAAGTGAGTTCTGTCCTAAATCAGCTCTGTAAACGTGCAGACGTAATATACTTGGCATGTGTCTCTTCTCATTATTGATCTGTACGCTGATGTCCGATCCCTGTAAACTGTACCGGTCCACACAGAAGATCGGTGTTGCCCACTGGACTCCAAACGTATCCTGGATGGGAAGCGATTGAGCCACCTCTGCTGTTCTTTTAAGAGATCTTTTTAGGTCTTTTTATTTTTTAGATAATGGCTTTAGTGGGAAAAAGTTGTATTGATTTATGTTTGATGAATTTAGGTAAATTTGGCCACTTTCGGCATTGAGATGATTTACCTCAAATCTATCTATCTATCTATCGTTCTATCGATCTATCGTTCTATCTATCGTTCTATCATTCTATCTATCGTTCTATCCTATCGTTCTATCTATCATTCTATCTATCGTTCTATCCTATCTATCATTCTGTCTTTCCTATCGATCTATCGTTCTGTCTTTCCTATCTATCTATCTATCTATCGTTCTATCTATCGTTCTATCGTTCTGTCTTTCCTATCTATCTATCTATCTATCTATCTATCTATCTATCGTTCTATCGTTCTATCTATCTTTCTGTCGTTCTGTCTTTCCTATATCTATCGTTCTATCTATCCAGTGTGGGTTAGTCTGTAATTATTATAATTAGACTTATTTGACAACAGTAGGCATGTATGTTATGTCCACATTCAGATAGCAAGTGTGTAATTGTGCTCTAAATCAAACTCTCTCAGGTCCATCTCTCCACTGATGTATTTTGTTCAGTAAAGGTTTCCAGTTAAACTCTTCTTAGATTGATGGTGCGGCTGAGCTGCTTTTCCCAACTGTTATGAAAGAAGCCGTGGAATGCAGTTAGCACCTCCTTTCCTTGTTTATTCCACCTCAGCCTTTATTTTACGTTACATAACCCAGCCTCTAGACAAATCATCCAATATCACACACATTTATTGTGCCTGCTAATGAATCTTTTTTCCTGTTTGCAGTGCAACTTGACACTATAAACCGCTCGCCATGTGAAAGCAGCTGCTTACTTACTTCTCTGTTTCTTCTACTTTCCTCGGCTTCTTTTGCTCAGTGGAGCCGAGAGCTTGTTGTCTTTCCTTCTGAAGGCTCTAGCCAAGCGGTCCAGGTACATACACACACCCCCACTGTGTATGTTTGTGCTCACGCCGTTAGTGAACTTTCCCTTCGACCCCTGACCTTTCTGTTCTCCTCACTGAGTGTAAATGTCTCGCTGAAATTCTCCCTGCTGTGCTGCAGCGACCCTCCTCTCCTCGCTCACCTCGACACTTTCTGTCAGACTCAGACATAGCCTGTAGTGCTCGTATCAACAGTTGCTCATAGACACATACACCAGTAAAGGCCAATGGGTCACCAAGTGTGTTAAAACTGCGGCGCTAGTGCCAGACAGCTGTGATGACATTGTCCAGCGCCTGCGGGCTTTGAGTTAGTTTTAATACGTCTTCTTCACTATTGCACTTGTTTGGATTTTCGCTGCATTGCTCAGTTGTTATTTTTATCCAAGACGAAATACGTAAAAGACGGCACACATCTTAATGTGACCTTTTCACAATATTAATTAACTCATCTCCAGTATTTACACACTCACTGAGTATTTTTAACTCTGCTGCAGCTTGTATATTTTATGTTTCGTCTAGTATTATTAAGGATATTCCAGAAGAACTGAAGCTGTGCATGGAAATGTCTGTCATTGTTTTCCCTGTGGACACCTGTCAGCCCAAGGCTGAGCCTGATTCTGGGTCTGTAATAGGCTGTTGAATACAGCAGGTTTAACCATAATATATACTAGTTAGGGATGTTCATTTTAACCGGTTAACCGTTAACCGACTAAGAATTTTGACCGATTAACACAATCAGTTAAATGGTTTAAAAAGTAATTTTTTTTTTTTCAGTAATTTATCAAAATATAGAAAAAGTTTTGCTGCATGGTTAAAATACGCTACGCTTATAAATAAAAAAAAAAAATTTAGAGAAAAAAAAACAAGTTGCATATAAGTCACATTTTATTATTTCATTCAGAAATAGGCCTAATGCCGACGCGAAATGTTTACAAACATTATAATAAACACTGTAAACATAGCTAGGCTATTTTAGTTCCCCTCACTCCACAACAAATCCTTTCAATTAACAGTATTTAGAAAATAACAAGAATCAAAAATATAAGAGAAGCTATAGCTATATAAACGACAAGCCAAAACGAATTCATTTAGGCTAAAACGAATCTGAAACCAACGTTGGGTCTCTCATTTGACACAAAGTCAAATGTTTCTGTATTCGCGATGTATTTGAATGCCAAATTATTATTTATTATGTACTTCACTCACGTTCCAATGAGCTGTGCATTATCCCTTACTTGTATTATTATATATGTTATTTGCATTATTGTTATTTTTTGCATATATATATTAATTTTATTATTATTATTTATTTATTGAATTTATGTTTTGATTATTTCGTTTATTTATTTAAAAAAAGGCTAGTTTAATACATTACTTGTTTCATTATTGTTTGCATGTTTAATTTAATTTTAATTAATTATATATACTGTATATGTGTGTGTGTGTGTGTGTGTGTATATATATATTA